TAAAATACTCAATTCAGAATGTATTCACCTGCACACAGTATTTAACAGTATTTATTTGTGTTGTTTTGGCAAGCAGTTCTTCTCCACCTACTGCTAAATGAGCTTCTCAGTCAGTTTAATCAATGTCTTGGTGAAAATAAAGTTAGACAGTGTCACGCAGCCTCACAAATAATGATGCATTTTGTAGCAGATGTCAGATACACTGCAGACCATGCCGTGCTGAGGAAATTGGCCTCCTTATGTTCATATTATCTCATAATAAGCTTTGCACCTGTTCGAGCAATTGACCACTTCGTCACTTTCTGCTCATTTAGATAATGGTAAGAGCAATGAAAATAAAGGAGATGAACTCTAATTATCGTGGTAATTTGGAGTTACTTAGAGAACTATGAGGTGAGTGCTTTTCACTCCCCTCATAGTTCTAGCCGACCTGTGACAGGGGAGGGGCTGGATACCCCTCTCCCCGCTCCGATCCGCCAGCGCTGACTGGCGGAACGGACAGGGGGCGGGTACAGCTGGCTCTGCCTCTAGATAGGCAGAGCCAGCTGTCACTCACGCAGCTGGGCGGATCTCGATATCGATGCCGGGATCCGCTCCGGCGTCTCAGTATACCGCAAGCTGTAGCTTGCGGTAAACTGAGCCTAGGGTGACGGGAGTACGCTAGTTTGTGTCCTCCCGTTACCCTAAGGAGAACTATGGGGAAAAGCCCTGACCCCATAGTTCTCCTTTAAGAAAATGTTAAAGTCTCACATTAGACTGACAGCAGGAATAGACTGCATGACTTTTCAAAATATACCCAAAGTTTGGAGTGAAACAGTGGCAGTATATGGAAATAAGATAATATATTTTGCTGCAGTTTCATCCAATCTGAAAGTTTTTCTTGATGAAGGAAAGATAGTGAACGAATGTGGTTGTTTTGCCCCCATCCACAATCTTTCTGCACTCCAAGAACAGAACCGAAAAAAAACCCATCTCCCCTTTAGCCAGGTTCACACCTAGACAGCATAGTTCTTGCGCGTTTGAAAGCGCATATTCAGCTGCACATTTATCTGTATTGTACACATTTTTTTATGCGTGTATGTACGCGCGAAGACGTTCATTTTGCCTGGCAGCTGAAGAAACACTGCGGGAAATGGATGGACGCACGTACAAACGAGCACGAAAATGTGCAACATGCTTTTGCCACACATTTTTGCCCGTTTTATTGAAGTCTATGGAGCAAAAATGCACTGATAACTGCCCAAAGAAGCTCATGTGCCTTTTCAGGCATTTGGTGTTTTCCTGCTGGCCTTTTGCTGCTCAGGTATGAACAGGGGCCATTGAAAAATCATGGGATTTCTTGTGTTGGGCGTTTAAAAGTTATTTTCCAACTGCTCAAAAACGCTGAGGTGTGGACCAGGCCTTTAAGGGTGAATAAAATGTTCCTTTAAGGAATCCTCAACAGGCCAAGAATGAACCCAAAGATCCCTGTGCATGTGGACAGACAGTACACCCATGCATGACACAAGTTTAGATGCTTGCAAGAGATCAAAACCTCAAAGCTTTAACAGTGCCTTGGACATGTGCTCCATGGTATAAGGGTGTGACCTCAAGATGGAGCAAATCCTAGATGTGTGGTTAGGCACACCTCTTAAAAAAAATGGTCATCTTTCTTGAAGGTTTATTTAGGTTTGCTTATTTGAATGGAAATATCAGAAAACAGCCTGACATGACATTAAAATAAACAACCTAAACGAACCTTTAAGCAAGATGCCATTTATTTATTTTTAAAGCGGTGCTCCTAACCACACATCCAAGATATGATCATCTGATGAGAGATCCCCTCAAAGCGAACAGAGGCAGCAGCCTTGGACTAAAACCAGGTCCATGCATTACACATGGTTATCACAGGTTTACCTCTCTCAAGGAGTACATCCCCCATTTTTTCCAGATTTACATCAAAACCAATTCCTACTCCTACTGCTCCAGCACTACCGGATACTGTATCCATCAGTTCTCCAGATGAAGGAGTCTCTTTAAAACAGAGTTAATCCACACTGACATGTATGCACAAATCTGAGTCACCACCAAACCCAGCAGCATAGTTAAGCCAGATAACTCAAACTGAGACCTTAGGATGGAGTCCAGATGGTCAGTAAAATCCTTAGAAGTAAAAAAAACATTATCAACCTGTTTGGCAGTATGTTCATTAAGATGGATGATAGGAGCATCTACAGTGGGCAAAGACCATGTATCAATAAGTTCCCTTTCAGAGAGAAAAAAAAAACTCCTTATTGTCAGGAGGGAGACAGGTTGTTTCCAGTACCGATAGAGGAAGGTTTTACATACAGAGAGTATTGGAAAGGTCTTCGTAGACAGCTCTAAAAGAACCAATGCCTGAAACAGCAGGCTGATCCCCTAACTGCACTGATCAGTCAGAGGATCAAGAACTCTTTGTAAAAGCGGAGTCATACAGGACTTTTACAGGCTCTTCTGGTGAAGGCAATGAATTTAAATTGGAGATGATAAAAGGGGCCTCAGGCACACTTACAGATGGAGGCACAGTAGTAGGTTCCGTTGGGCAATCCACTGGAGTAGTCGTAAAACACTTTAAAGTGAGCCTTTACCCCTCTTACTAAAAATCACAGCAGCATGCAGCTCTGCATGCCGATTTAAAATCATCTTACATTAGTTAAACTTGTTTTTAATTTACTTACAAATAGAGTTCATCTACTTCCTGGTCCAGTTTTGGCACAAATTATGTAAGTGCCAAGGCGTTGCATCCTGGGAAGGTTACATCAGCAGAGCATTGCTGGGAAATCTCATCTGTAGGGAGAGGCATTTCCCCCCCACCCCCGAGATGATGTGACTAGGACATGTGACCAGTCATATGTGCCGGATTTTCAGGAAGTAAATGGAGATCTAGTAACCCGCCCTTAGATAACATGGCCACTGTCAGAAGAAAAGAGAAATAAGGTATGTAAAGGATACAAAGTCTGCAATTATCTATATGTATGTGTTTGTAGATTGTCATTATTATACATTTCTAAAGGTGCGTTTGTTGTTATTTTAAAGATATGGGTAAGTCCCATATCCAGGTACGGCCTCCAAAGTGCTTTCTTAGAATACGCCAATCTGGATAGCTGCTGTGAAAAGACTAGCTTAAAGCAGCATGTTTTTTTTTTTAAGAGAGAAATCAGTTAAAAAAAATATATATAGTGAGAATATTTCTCAGCTGAGGAAAAAGCCTCCAACCTCCTAAAGGTGCCCAATATGCCAGTTGATGGGAAGTGCACAACCTCAATTACTGTACAACTGGCAATGTTTGTCTTTCAAGCAGACTAGAAAACGTTCATCTAGTTGGACGAAATTTGACAGGTTAGTGGTATTGTTGTACAACAAAAACCTCAAGATGAAAACTGCACAAGCTCAAACAAAAATCTGTCCTTTCGATCGATGAAAATCATCCAGGTGGTGGTGTTGACAAGTGTTATGTGTGAACTACATTGGTCTGTGCATGATGGGCTAGTTGTAAGAAAATTGAACGAGGGTGAGATGTCTGGACAAAAAAAGTTGAACAATGGTTGCAAGGTGTATGGCCACCTTATGACACCTACCAAAAACGATGGCATGACCGTTCTAGACAGGGATATATAGATAGATATATATCTATATATAGGGGTTTTGGCTTAATGGTTTTTTGTTTGCCAGTGTCCAAACCTCCTGAAGGTGTCAGTATAAACCACATGTCCAAGAACTACTACAATCCTATGTTCCTCAATGGATGATAAAGAAAATATGATGCTACATGCTGCATTATTCAACTGCACAAAAGGTCTGAGTTCAGAATCTGTGCTGTCTTTTAGGGGTGTCCAGATCATGAAAAAACTCACATATGCAAGTTGTGATATGCATTTCAACGATGTTTCTTGTAGTCATTTAAAGAGACAAAGTTGTCCCTTAAAGATGACAAGGTGACAGTGTCTCTGGAAAGGGCATCCCGCAACCCCGCTTCACTCACCTTACCTGTGCTCCCTTCCAGCTCCTTACTCCTCTGCAGCTGTGTCAATGAGGAGTACTGATGTCACTCCCCAGTTCATATGGCAGTCCTCAGGTCTAGCAATTGACTGCTAGACTCAGGAACCATTACAGGGGGAACAGTTCACATGCGCCTCCATAAGTGGAAATGCCAAGTTTTCCCACATTTGTGGAAGACCACGCTGCTGGGAGGGCAGGTAAAGTGTTGGCCTTTTCGAAAAACCAATGTCACCTTGCCCTTCGGCAGGATGGCAGTATCTCTAATTGATTTCACGCACCCAACACAATTCCCTACAATTACTGCCTGGTGCTAAAAAAGCCTTTGCAACAAAAAAACGCCCCTGCTCCAGATCCTTATTTACCACTTTAAGCGTGCCACAACCCCATTCATTTTTACACATGTATACACATACTTTTTTTTTTACATTTTTTTTTTTTAAATGGCAAAAAGGAAAAAAAAAATAGATTTAGCTTGGTTTTAGTTGGAGCATCCTTGCAGAGCAGATGTCGAATCATGAGATATTTGCTGGATAGCACTCATTATGTTAACTGCATAATCTAAAACTAGGTCAAAGCACATGTACACTAGCTGTTAGTTTACACCTTGACTGTTAATGTGGATAAATGACAGTAGTTTTCTAAGCCATTAAAAGCCAGAATTATAAAGTAAAATGCTATACAAATGAAAGAAATAGAAAATTAGAGAAATGCAAGTCATTGCATTATTTTTCACTGTAGAGTGGAATAACGTTTTTTTAACGTAAGTATGAGTTAAATAGAACACTTGATGTTAAATCTCAAAACCAGCAGGATTAGTTGCGGAGCTCTGAACATCTGGTCTGTTAGGGTTTGTCCCTTAATTAGGAATTGCTTTAACTGCTACAGAACCGAGGTTACATACATCAGACAGAGCATGAAAACCCTTACTGTTGTAAACAAATATGTGTAAAGTAACACCATGTTAATAAAATCCCATATTTTACCTTTTCTGCCAATGCTGTCAAGCTGTCAAGAAACCTTTGCCAAAAATCCTTGAACAGTGGGCGATCAATTTTCTTAAGGCTGTCTTTGGTACTGGCATCCACACTCACATACAGCTGTGTGACTGGCTCCAGAGACCTGACAAATGAGAACTCACTTTATAATCATGAAATAAGAAAACATTAAAGCTATTCTCACTATACCAACTTGTACAAAACTGACAAGACTAGTCTGTAAACCGATTTGCAGATTAAAATAAATAAATTATCCATTTACAAACATACTTCACCAGGCGTATCTTGTTTGCAGCATTTTCATCAAGGGGTCCCAACAGGTTCTTCCACTTCTTTGGGATTCATGGGTGACATTAGGGGTCTAATAGACCCCTGATGTCTTCATCAGGTGGACCTGTCACTTCCTCTGTGTCATCACAGAGTGAGTGAAAGCAATAATTTTAGCTCCCATCTTTCACTGTTAACTCTAAATTGATGCGCGATAAATGCTTTTAAAGCATGGCCTATGAGCAAATTTGGGTAATGTAGTTGTTTGCCATTTCACGGGCACGTGCAATGTCAAGGTTTGATGTATCTGTATACCCAACGCAATGTCATATTTTTATTTTTTTTGTAATACATTAAAAAGGTATTATATTGTATTTGTTGACAAATATATTCACAGCATGTGTATTATGCACTATGAATACAGGTTTAATATGAAACACTCCTAAAGAAAGACTAATTCAGATGTAATGCTTTTATTTGTACTCCTCAAAAGGTGTTAAAAAAAAAAGTAAGAAATGGTGCTTTTCCAGTGACCAAATTTAAATATTTTCTTTAAAGTCACATGTTGCTTTGATATACATATACTAGTAATACTACAGGCAGAAAGTTATTAGAAAACAACACACCACACTATAAAGATAGCTATTAAAAAAAAAACCTATAAAATGATCAGAGCACAAAATAATAAAAAAAAGGAGTTACAAAATACGAACTCATGCAGCTTAGCAAAATGAATACAACAACATGGCACAAGAGACAAGAGATAAGCAGTCACAACCAAAATGTCCCATTATAGCAATTTTTTAGCAAAAAAGTTATGAACTCTGGGCACAAAAACCTTAAATTTACAATAAATATATTTCTCAATACCCACAAAGATATAAAATCTACCAAAGGCCTTTGCAAAACCATTAGCAGTAACAATCATTGTGCTGTATATCACCTGTGCAGAGAGAAGAGCTGCGGAAGGGGTCCCAACAGGTTCTTCCACTACAGGCTGCCTGCAGAAAACTACAGGAGGGGACATATACAAGACCAGTCACCCTGCCCAAGGAGAGAGAGCTGCAGCGACCGGTCTTTTATACAGGAACAGTTAAAACACGGTATTACTGCACAGATCTTGAAGAAAATACACAACCTACATCAAGTAGGAATACACAAGCCTACTATATGTAAGTAATATTGGCTTTTCCCAGAGTTCAGTTGTAATGCATAGGATATATGGTTCATCATAAAATAGACTTGCTTGTCTACCAAATCTGAGCTAATTTATACCAGCTGAAGAAAACCTGTTTAAAAAAGGGAATTCCAATTTCACAGGCAAATTTGAGAAAATGGAATTTCCCAGCAAACTATCTACACACACACCCCTTGGCCCCCATACTACGCTTGCAAATGGTGAGCACTCAATATTATAGCTCACATATGTTCATTTGCATGCAATATTCTACACTTGAGCTGAAGACCAGGATAAGTGTGAAATAAATATGTTCACTACACATAAGGGAGCTGGTTTAGCAGCCAAGGGATTTATATTCTTGTCCATCCAGACCTGATTTTTACACAGCCCTGTAACAGCAGTGTGGAAGTGGTTAAGTAGTTTAACAAAAGCAGGGCCAACACTACTCAGCTGTGTGTTGTCTGCCCACAAGAGGATTTAGGAGTCAAGTGCATTTCTGGCAGATTAACAGGTTTATTAATGTAGTAGCAGCGTTTAAAAAGGCACAATATGTGGAATTGCACATGTATTGCATTTTATTAAATTTTGCTTTGAGACACACTTTAGTGTATCCAAACACAAGAGCGAAAACTTAAATATTGCAGCTCAACAGATGTGGTGGTTACATGGCTGCAAGAGTTCATGGTTTTTTCCCCCTTTATTTTCACCCAGTGACTCGTCCACTAAACACACTTCCAGTTTCCAGGGTGGCTACACTTACTCCTCCATTGTATCTATGAAGGCTGCAACATTCCCACTAGGACAACAACATGTCCAACCTATGGAGAGGTTAGTGTTAAGGTGCCCATACACTGCACGATTCTCGTACGAGAATCGCGGGAAATCCCGCGATCATACGAGATAGTGTATGGAAGGCGTGCGACCGTTTCTACTGTATGGTCGCACGTCTTCCGTCGAACCAGCATTCTAGAAAACCCGCCGGAATCGTACGATTCTCGGCGAGTTAGTGGCCTGCTGGTTTGACAACTGCCGAACAGGCCGGTGTGCGCACGCGCACACTGCCCGTTTGCAGTCAACGTAAGCCCGCCCATCATTACAGTCATCGTAAGCCCGCCCCTCAGGGGGCGGGCTTGCGATGATCGAGAGTACGATCTGCCTGTCCAAGATGGGCAGATCGTACGTTTTTTTTAAGTACTTTACAACCATCGCAAGACTAAGGTCTTGCGATGGTTGTAAAGTGTATGGCCACCTTTAGGTGGACTTTATATTAGTGAATTGAAGCCAAACTCCAGCTAACACTTTTTAAGCAGTTTAACCCCTTAGTGACCAAGGGCTTGGTTTCGTTTTTTTGTACCCATGATATAATCCAATTACTTCAATCCCCCACACATTATATATTTTCTGAAAGCCAAGACCCTGTAAAATAAAATGGTGGCAGTTTAAAATTGTTATGTTGCATGAAATTAGCGAAACGTATTATCAAACCCCAAAATGTAGTGAAAAATGCCTTTAAATGCCCCAAAACACAATTACATACCCATTTTTTAATAGAATATAAAAGAGGTTACAATGAGTAAATAGATACCCAACATGCCCAAGTAAAAAATTGTGTGCGGAGACAGGGCATTCCGCAAAACTTGGTTTTACTGGCTTGAGTTCCTTTATTCCCCAGAATATGTTAAGCTAATGGTGGAGTGACACAGCATACCATTCTCGGGGATAACATCCTTAACGAACACTTAGAGAACTGAATCCACCCTGTTGAACATCACAGCCAGATACAACATACCCTTCCGGTCCACATGGACCTAGACGGGTTCCAAGTCTGAAAGCTCCACATTCCTAGCCTGGATCCGGGCACTTCTGCTTCTCCTTTCCTATATCTGTCCTCTCACTCTACCATAGCTCCTATTGGGGGCTTCTATAACCACTCCTCTTCATGGCTCAAACTTCCTACACCTCCCCACCCCTCCTCTCTACAGGCACCGGCTGGACTGACAATCTTATCCAACGCTACCTGAGTTCAGGAACCGGGATGCGCTTGGCACGATTCTCTCTCTCTCTCTCTCTCTCACACACACATATACTCATGTAAATGGAGAGAATTGTTTTTTGTATGTTCTTGTACCTTTTTTCTTGTTATAAGCAAAAACTCAAAATAAAGAATTAAAAAAAAAAAAGAAAATTGTGTGCGTCCGTGAAACTGTGACAAATTTCACTACCCCAAAAAGTCCATAGATTACGCTTTAAAAGCCCCCACAGGTCATCAGTTTAGAAATGCGCATAAATATTGGCTTTAGAATTATTGCGCTCACTCCGGCGTGTGCGGCAATACCTCCCGTGTAGCGCGATCGTAATTTTCATACGTAGGCGCACCAGGCAAGCGTTTAAGTGAACACGCGCGTGCTCGCGGGGGGACTTTAAAATGTATATTTTTTTCATATATTTCATTTAATATTAATTTTAAAAACGGTTTTACTTTTAATTGCTATCACATAGGGGGGCTTACAAGCCCATGTGATAGCAGATTAGTGGCAACAGCTACTCTTTAAAAGGAGAACTATGAGGCGAGTGCTTTTCACTCACCTCAGAGTTCTAGCCGACCTGTGACAATGAGACTGTATAATACGCAACGGCAGATTACAAAAGCTAAAAGATATAAAGTGCGCAACCAGGCCGAAAAAAAGAAAAACGCTCTGGAACTCAACGAGCTTTAGTAACCGTTCAGCACACATATCCATTGATTTTTTTCACAAAGATTTTATTTGGTTTTTGTCGGTTTTTCATATAAAAAAATTACAAAGAGAACAGAAGTGGGGCATGCAAGCCCTGCAATAAGGCACTTAAACGGAAAACAAACAGCTACAGCATCGTGCAGAGCCCTGCAGGCCATAGAACAGGAGCAGTGTAGCAAGTGCCAGAGCGCAATTTGGGAGTTAGAAGGAGCAATTGAAGTTCAGGGTCAGTGGGTAAGGCCCAAATTAACATGGAATGGGGCAACACGGGGGAGGGTTTATCAGGTCCGATGCCTGGGTATCGTGGGGTCGAGGCCAATGAGTTCTACAGCCCTCTACCCAGAGACATCCGGGGCCAATAGGACGGGGGTCAAGCAGCACAATCAGTTTAGGGACAATAACAGGGGAAGCAAAGGAAGAGGACACGAAGATGGGGAAGGAGGGGAGGAACGGGTATGGGACAGAACAGAGGGGGAGTAAGACAGGGGAGGGCGGTACACTGGGAAAGGGGTTCAGGGGGAGTTGGGAAGTACAGAGCCTCTAAATGGATAGAAGGTGAGGATCGAAGGAAGGTGGTTTAGAGTATATCCATTGATTTCAAGAAGTTTCTGGACATGCACCTAATGCAGGAACGTAGTGCATGAAGCAAACTCTGCAACATGGGTTTCACCTCCCCCCGCATGTTTTACTGTGCGTGAAAATGAGTTTGCTCAGCTGTGTTTGGATTGGCATTAACTAGCAAGTGGTTAACACGCTATAAGAGAAAGCTAGGAACACCACCACCTGTTAATGGACATATCTACACAAAATCATCTTACCTCATTTGTTCTGGGAATTGTGCATTTGTTACAAGGAAACTGGATATGTGCTGCTTATGAAGCAATTTGAGTAACTGGTTGATCTCGGGGTACATAATTGGTTCTCCAACTAAAGATAGAGCACAATGTTTGACATTCATGCCTTCTTCAAATCGGTCAGGTTTTACACCAGGAACCCCTGAAAGACACAGAACAAAAATAAATAAATGAATACAAAAGATAATGGCTGTGCTACATTTGCTAATACCTTTGAGGGCCACTTCACTATATTTTCCCTGCTCGTCCCCAAGTGAAACACCTATATATAAAATACTTACCTGTAATCCCTGCTCTCAAGATCTTTTCTATGCAGCCCTGTCCAGCACTGCACAAATAAAGTCCTGGCATGTTACTGCCCCACTGTGCATGCTTGCCATGGGCTCAATCATTCCTATGGCTCGTGTTCCCTTGAATGTTTTGTCTTCCATGAGTACGAACCAGCTGTAGGGATAAATTAGGCCGAAGCCAGCCGATGTACGGCAGAAGTGAATAGCCGAACATCATTTGGCTCACTTCACTTAGGCTCGGTTATTCCTTCGGCAGCTAAGTGAATAACCCCATAGGTATTCAGCACAAGCAATAGGTCATTCCAGAAGATGTGGGAGCAGTGATCATGTGGTTCAAAGGCCTATACAGTACAACTTGGCCAGTGTATAGTTAACTGATGAATGATGCAACTGTGTGAATTTGTACACCATGCTAAATAAGTCCATGAACCAAGTATCTGCAACCTACTCCCATCTATCGTCTGTCAAATCAGGAATACATTGGAACCATTCACAGTGAGAATGAGCAAACGTTTTGGTCTCCTTAGCTTACAGGCATTTATATTACTTACATATAATATAATTCGTTTGCTTTGTCCTTAGTTATATAATAAATACTCCACGGGAGGCGAGGACAAGGTAAATTTCAGAGTTCCCAATAGCATGATGCAGTAAAAAGGTATTAAAATAGTCAATTTGTGTTTTCACCTTGAGAGCCTTCAATGACAGAAATCCACCATCAACACACATCTGGGAAAGATAGAAGCTACCTTTAGTGGACCAACAAGGAGAGTTGTGATGGTTGTAAAGTTCCATTAACTTACCGTTATGCCAAAGCAGAAACCGAAACTGAGGGGGAATATTTTCAGCTTTTTCCAGTTAAAAAGGGGACATTCATAGACCATCATCCATTACATTTACAGGAGGTAGTTCAATGAATACTGTAAAGCAAGGTCTGAGGAGACCTAATGTCCCTATATAGGGTTGAACTAGAAGTGGACAAAATGTAACCAAGTATAGCCGACAGGCTAGAAAATAGTTGTAATCGCTGGAAAGTAGAAATGGCTAAACCTCGATCCACCTGTATGCTTGTATGGAGGACTTGGCCATTCTTGGTTGGGAGTTACTCCCCATCAAGGGAGAGTTAATAGAATCAATTTATTAGAATAAGTGTATAGAGGGAAAGGCTTTGGGGATGTCTGTAGGGCATAAATTAGTTTAGGGAGAAATGTTTTAACAAGATTTATGTGGCCATAAGATTTAGGGGCAGGAAGCTCCAAATTTTGAGGATTCCATATGATCTAAGAAGGGGATTATGTTAAGGGACTCAGAGAGCAAGAATATAATGAATATTAATAGCCAAGTACCTTCTAAAACTGAATTACCCTTGTCCATGGGAAGCACTTTAATCCTTACCCCTTACCCGCAGCAGAGGAAAGAGCGGGGCTACTCACTGGGACACTTCTCAGTGAATAAAAGAAACTGGAAACCTAACTTATTATCAGTCCATCTATGGTGAACCTTAAATACTACGAGCAAAATACAACATACGCTATGCCATACTTGAAGCGGTAAAGATAATTGATTTTCATCTCCATCATATACCTATGTAATAATATATTAAGAACTTTCTTTTATAGAAAAGAAGAAGTTTGCCAACATGCTGCATACAGCAGGCAGGACCGTGGCTTCATATTTCAGTCAATAGCCTCAAATTCCAGTCATGGCATTATTGTTGAGGGAATTGAAGTGGGAATAAAGAACAAGCTAGAGAAAAATTACAAGGAAAGTTCATTAATTATATAGTTCTCTGCAACCAACTCTGAGCATCCAGTCAATACGTCCCTGCTCATCTGTTACACTAATGTGGGTCTTCTTGACAATTATTAATACCTCTAACAGACCAGTAGAGCCCCACAGGAAGCAGTTTATCTAATTTCACAAGCCAAAGAAAGGCAAATCCCAGAACAGTAACATTCTTTATCAATGTACAGTCAGAGTACTGCAGATTCATGGCTTTGTACCGTCATCAGAAGCTCCAGCGAGACTATTCTCGGTTATGACTTATCTACCACATGCTGACCAATGCTCAAATTAATTTTATTTCTATAAGTCAATATCACTAACCAACTGCTCTCCAATTAACTACATTACTGAGAAATATACGTAGAGATTTTAAAATCTTAGGTGAAGTCATACAAGTCTTTAACATAAAAGGATTATGGTAGTCCCGGGATTACCATTATTTCAGCATTTATAATATGAAAAAAGGTTAATATACAGTAAACAAAATAATCTATAGTACACAAGAAAGCAAATATTGTATGTAGTAATAACATTGTTATTTTGCCATTTATTAACTATTCCTAGCAATAAATATTGCTAAAATCGAGGGCAAGAGAACTCTTTAGCCATTTCTAACATCCATTTGGGTCAACTATAAGTTCGACTCTAACTCAAGTCATTCACAATTCAGGAAAATGGTGAACTAATGCAGCCATTCGCTGCTATAGCAACCAAAAAACAATTATAAACCTCTTGACCTTTGAACTATGGTTGGGTGATTTAAAAAGGGCCAAATATTGGAGTTTCCTTATGCGCCAGACCCCTCCCTAAAAAACTTTAGGGTTCCTAGCAACACAGTCTAAGATGAAAATTTGTCTAGGATAGCAAAACAGTTTTCCTGAATTTTTTGTGGGGACACACTGAGGGCTGCAGCTGTCATTGTGATGTGCTGGGCTTCTGGTGTATCCTTGTGCCTCCAAGAAGGAATGGGCTGCCTCCAGGCATACCTACACTCAGCTTATCCATTGCTATATATGCTCCAAAATGGAGGCTCTCAAAGATCAGTTAGGACCATACTACAAAGAGAAGCTTTTACAAGACTGTGTGGCTTCCACATATTTTGCAAAAGTCGTGTAACTAAAAAAACACAGCATTTTTTTTTGCAGGCTTGCTAGTAAGTGTGCTGGGAAAATTGTGTGTTTGCATTTGTCTAGGATTACATCAGCCTTAGACCTGTAGTCATATTACAGGTAGGGTAATCAAAAAGAAAACGTGGACTTGCTGATTTGTGGCTGACACACAATATCAGTGGGGCATAGTTTATTGCTGGAAAAAACATACAATGTTTGCCAAATCAAGGGACAATGTATGCAAAAGGAATTAAGGGGAAAAAAAAAGGAAGGTATAAGTTACTTTGAGCATATTATGGATTCCTATTGGTTAAATATAAAATAAATGTAAAAAACAAGACAAAACCAAGCCGTCACTGACAACTTGGTTCCCCACTATCGTTCAGGAAACAGATCGGAACGGTTTCATATCATGAGGTCACTATGTCAGCAATGATTCAGTAATTGAATGCAGTCTGGGGGGTTAATTTACAAAAAAAAGCCTTTAACTTGCTGATGGCACTGCAGCCTGAATGTGGCAGTATTCATCTAACACTATCAAATATTAAAGTATTTGATAAAATTAAATTGCATCAAAGACCTCTCGTCATGAAATAGTTAATTACTCTATAGACTTCTGATGCCGAAATTATACAGCAGGTCACAGAACATTAAAGGAGACGAACGAAAAATCTAACAAAAACCTCTGTGCACAGTAAGTTTTCTGACTGTCAGAAGGGCAAATTATCACCCTCTAAGAAATGATCATCACACGAGACCCTCGGTTCCAAATTCAGGCTATATACAGCCACCTTTGCTTAATAGGTCAGACAATTGCTGCTCAGCTAAGCATTTACCCACAATGGTAGATCTCCCACCAAGAGCAGTAGCGAATTAGGTCTGCCGATCCTCAGTGTAAAAATGTTGAAACTATAAAACCTATATAGAAAACTTACCAGCATGACACAAGTCTAATTATAAGGGCAAGGTAAGGTGTAAACAATGCAACTTTTGGAAGAAATATATGCATGTTGGATGGCAAGAAACCATCAGAGCAGTACAAGCCTATTGAAGCAGCTTAAAGCTTTTACAATCAGCATTGTGGTCTACAATGACAAACCTTGAACATGATATGCTTTTTCTACTGCAAATTTAGGTGCAAGGGAATAACAAGTACCTATGTTGAAAAGCTGGCTTTAAATGGTTAGAAAATAAATAAAAAATAAAATGTATGTTTGTTTTTGTCAAGGTAATATACACACAGTATATTCTTTGGTCAAATACTTCAAAAATAGAGCAATTTTTTGGGGGGTGTTAAAGGAAAAGTATGGAGTTAGGGTTTTTCCCCATAGTTCTCCTTAAGGTAACGGGAGGACACAAACTAGCATCCTCCCGTCACCCTAAGCTCAGTATACCGCGATCTACAGCTCGCGGTATACTGAGACGCTGAAGCAGATCCCAACAATTATGTCTGGATCCGCCCAGCTGCGTGAGTGACAGCTGGCTCTGCCTATCTAGGAGGCAGAGCCAGCTGTAGCCGCCACCTCCCCCGTCTGTTCCGCCAGTCAGCGTTTGAGGATCGGAGCGGGGAGGGGGGAATCCAGCCACTCCCCTGTCACGGCAGAGAGCCCTGACAGGATCGAGAATTGAGCGAACGCCGGTATGCGTTCGCTCACTTCCCGATCTAATGAGCTGACCTGTGACAATTTCATTGTCACAGGTCGGCTAGAACTAGGAGGATGAGTCAAAAGCACTCACCTCATAGTTCTCCTTTAAGCAAAGAGTGATTGAAAAAACTGGATTTTTGTCTTCACCATAAAATCAGTTTCATGGAGTAAATCACAGTGTAAGAGACTGAAACACATGCTGTAAAAGGGGACATTCATGAACTGTGAAGAGGACTTGTTCCCAGACTTTGTAGGTTTAAGTAGACTAGTGACCTTTAGAAAGGTTGACACAAATGCCTCTTAACTGCAGGGATGTGCACACTAACTTGCACAAGGACAGAAATAGTGGCCTTGAGCTTAGGCAAAATGTTAGTAGAAAGGATTACTCCCAGGAAAAGTACTTAAGAGCTGTAGGTGGACCCCTCCTCCTCAGGCAGTGTTAAAGGTGCAGGAGTGCAGGAGTGTCAGAAGGGGTCTCTGAGGAAGCAAAATAGGGTATATGCTTGCAGCCCCTGCAGCATGATGGCTGAAAGTCATTCAGCCCATAAAAATCAGCCATAACAGCTGTGAGGAGGTGGTTCTCCAGAGGCTGCATAGAGGGTGCAGACAACAGTGAACAGGACCATTAGCAAAGCAAGGGACTAGTACAGATAATGTCCCTATAGGGGGTACGGTTATCTTGCTGTGTGCCCCCCCACACCCATCCTGATTATAACTGTATCTATGGTCCACCATGCACTCTCCCAGCAAAACAAAGAGCAGGAGACGGTGGCAAATGTGCAAACACTAGTAAGCAGAGGTGATCCAGGCTTGAGCGGTGCAGCATTCTCCCTTCAGTGTCCGATTCGGAGGCACAGTAGCAGCAAAAAGCCTGTGCCCTTCCAGAGTACGCACCAGAGAAAGACAAGATGGCCGTGCACGGTACAAATAAGACTGCATTATCCGCAACCCCTAGACCTCAAAAGGAGAACATTTTTGTGCCAAACTCAAAAGGTGGAATCAACAGCTTAAAGTGCAACAAAATATTTGCACAGGAGCCACAGAACTAAATCAATAGGAAACCGGACACAGAGTAAACTGATTTGGATAACTGTTGGCATAGAGCAGCATTAGGGAAACTTGCTAGCGGAGCCTTCAGAAAAAAACATAGAAAAAAATTATGCAAAAGGGTATACTTCTCTCAGACACTATCAAAATAAAAAAAAAATTTAAATTTAAAAAAAAAAAAAAAAAAAAAAAAAACTTAGGAGGGCTGGGAGTGCAGGCGGTAGGAGAGGTTGGGCAGAGTGGTGCATTGTTGTCCAGCAACTTTGATTGATATATCCAAATCGCCTGTGTCCTTTAATGCATGATCAAGATCCACAACATAAAAAGTTCAAGTAGACCAATACTTGAAATATTTGTTTTAGCACATGTTAGTATTTGCTGGTGTAAATTAAACAATAGAAGAACTGAAATAGTTATCTTTCCTGGAGAAAAGGCTTTACTATAGGCTTTATCCCAGACTCGCTGGTCCTCTTCTTGACAAGATCATACGATAATTGGTCACATGACCAACGGAGAAGACAGGGCCTAGAGCAGCATAGTTTCCAGTAAAGGAAAGTATCCACTGCTAATTTAACTTTTCAGTATAGACCTGTTTGTAATGTTCTGCAAAAACACATACCTTTAAACTGCTTAATCATGTTTTGGTGATTCTCAATGGCTTGTTCTAGTATCATCTCAGGCTGATCCATCTTCCACTTCCATTCAGTTCCCACTGGATTAGTATGATGTCTGAGAAACAAACAGGTTTTTAAATCATTAGTCTGTATTGTTTTAGAAAAACTGTCAAATGACACCAAACAAAAAAAAGGTATCAGTAATTGGTAACTGTGCATCCTTACTGACAATAGTCAGCAGCACAAATGGAGAGGGTGAATGTACCAGTGGGGACACGGGAAGCTATGAAAATGTAACCAGTTTTGCAACAAAAAACACAACTGCAGCCAAAAACAAGTAGGGCTGAAACAGCTAATAGATTTATTTGATAATACGCCAGAGAATCCTTGTCAATGATACTCATTACCAATTTGCTCATTTGCGCTTAGTCCCCTCCGATCCCTGCTGCTCCTTTTGGAGATTGAGGGGGACACAAACCCATGCAGCTGGTGAGGAGTAGCTCTCCCTACTCTGCAGCTCTCTCTTCCCTGCTGGGAGCCTATTGCATGCTGCGGTCGGGGTCCCCTCTGATCCCCGCTGCTCTCTCCCCCACTTGTATTGGCAAAGGCAGTGGGGATTGGTGGGGACACAGACCACTGCAGCCAGCACCACCAGGAAAGAGAGATCGGCTGGGACAGCCAGGAGGAGTCAGGATTTAGAGTGGCTCAGGATGCAGAGCGCTGGATTGGTAAATGTGAAATATTTACTGATCCTTCCCTGTGAAGAACTCACATTGAGTGATCAGTACTGATCACTAGGATGTTTTTAAATAATTGAGGATATAGATACTGTATCCCCAATTATGAATGAACAGGAAAAGCTCTACACCACTTCCTTTTCATACATGATTGTGGACATACATATGTATGTTTACTATCTCCTCGATTTATAAAACGAACAGGAAGCCTCTGTACTGAGTGTTTCCTTTTCATTGAGTGCAGGGGCTGCAGAAAAAGAGATTTAGGATTCGGTGTCCTCAAACTCTTTTTTTTATATTTCAAAAAGGGAAATAGAATGGGTCTGTTTAGACCCCTGATAATTCCTCAAAACCTCTAACAGTAAAGTATAAAATAAATAAATATTATTATTGGAGATAGGAATTCAGAAGGAATTGACAAAAATTTGATCTGTGGGTGACCAGGTCAAATTTTTCAAAGGGAAATGTTTCAAAATTGAGAACAAATTAGAAAAAGTAAAATGATGGGATGACACATCTGTCAGTGGTAGTAAGATGGCCGATTACAAGTGGTTTGGGATAGATAATAGTTCTTGGATGGATCTACTCTGCATCCAGCGACAATCTATCTCAAACTGCATGCAATCTTATCATGTACAATTACATGTCAACTGCCAACTGACAGATGCAGTCACAACCAACCTGTCATTTACTTGAATGGGCACAGCGGCCACATCTGAACAGGGACACCTGTGGTTCCTGGAGCAAGAATCCATAAGTTCTTGCCACAGGAATCCCAGAATTCTTCAAAGACCCTGTGTGAATGGGGCACACAAAAGCAAAAAAGCAAGCAATCTGTGGGAGTTCATTTAACAATTCAAGCATACGAGATTCTGCTTAATACAAATGAACATCAACAAATAGCTCTGTTAGTTAAACTGACCTTGTAATACTGGCCTACGGAATACAATAGCAGATCTAGATGGTATTACATTGTTTTATCCTTTTCAAGAACTTCAGATAGATTCCAAAAATATCCAAATTTCCTCAACTTCTAAGTCGGCACTTAGGCCTACCCCATACCTTACAATTATAGTGATGGGGCAACAAGAAAATGTGGAAGGTCGGAGATCAAAATGCCATCTTAGAATTTTTTAGAACTGACTTCATCAAAGAACAACTTGGGTGTTTAAAAAAATATATATATAGATATATAAAAACTACACTGAAGTGCATGCTAATGTATTCAGAAGACCATTTACAAAGGTCTGTTCTTTTTTTTGGGGGGTGGGGGCTCTTTGTTCAGTAAGCCACAGACAAAAAAAATAAATAATAGTTATGGTTGCTTATACTTTTTCACTGCCATTATGACTATTCCAGGTCAGTTACTGCAAACCTTAAAGAAGCATTAAAAAATCTCAAACGTTAAATACAGATCAAACAAATATACATTGCCCAGGGAAAGGTTTCTTTATATTTTTGCAAAAGCACTTAGTCATCATGTTTACAAACACCTGGCTTCAGTTCTTTAGCTCACCTTCCCTGAACTTCCTGGGGAGTACAAGATCACAAGGAACAAATAACCAGTGCAGATTCCAGCTATTAGGCTTGAAGAAGGGATGAGGAGGGGGGAAAAGAAGGGATGAGGAGGGGGGAAGAAGGGAGAAGAGAGTGGCATGCCTTGCTGTACCCGTGTGTTTGTGAAAACATACACACAGATTACTACAGCACACACAAAAGGTGACCATCGTACATTAGACCCTGCAAGGGAAAAGGAACCACCCTAACACAAGATATCAGGGTCTCAGTGCTCATGGGACCAGCCGATTCTGCAGGAAAAGAAAACTTTTAAACATTAAGGAGCAGCATCCACCATAAGCGACTTAATCAGCATTTAGCTTTAAACATTTAGGCTTTAATATCACGTCATATTGTACGCATTGAACGACTGTGGGTAGGTCCTTTGTATTCAGTGTTTTATGTAGCCTTTCGATCAAAAAAGTATTTATATAGACTGCTCTACATTTCTTGGATTCTTCCGATGACAGACTGGGCAGCTTAAGTAGATACAGATTGGTCTAAATAGGTCTTTCTCCTCAAAAAAAAAAAAAAATACTTCCCATGTTTCCAATCTCACAGGTTCACTTTAAAACAGTGAAATGTTTTGCTAGAAAAATACAGATGGACCTTTAAGAGTATTGTAATATCTTTTCAGATCATCTTGCTTTACCTTGTGGAATATCCTAATTGCCCTGGAAGTAATTATTGATAACAAAATGATAGGTTATTGCAGCCTTGAAACAAAAAGCACATTGTTTAAACTAAAAAGGTATAAAGCCCATATCAATGCTTTTAATTGTCAAAACTTATTTCATTTTGGCTGTGTGGCACAAGGAAATGAAACCATGTTGAAAGATGAGATAAGAAAACAAAAGGGACATTCTTCAAATTGCCTTGGCCATATGTATACTAATCAATGTGATGTGTCCTACAAGTGAACTATTGGTGTTCATATCAGATCTCCGTTATGGCTCACTCCAAGAATTATCATGAGCTGAGAGAGTTGCTGCAGAGCAGCCGGTAACCTGGGGCTTCAGTAAGCATTACAAGGAGCAGCTTTCATGGTTCGTTATGTGAAATATGCCCTGCAGCTACTGTCATTCTCGAAGGATGCTAACCTGTACTCCATTATTTATACGGTCATAGATTCTCAATATCAATATGTAATAGGTAATCACACTCAAAAATGCCAAGAAGCAACATGTCACAATTTTACTACAGCAATTCAGAAGAGTATAAAGCATTATTCCAAGCACAGCAGGCTTACAAACAATGTGATTCCCTACTAAAAAGTTTACAGTATATATACACATATGGAAACAAAATTACCTCCAACAGAAAACGCATTTGTTGGCACAAGCAAGGCTTGGAGTGGTTTCCATACATCTATGACTTTCAATCCCATAGAATGTGTGCTTGTAACATCCTCCTCTTCCTCTCAGCATGGACTGGTTGCAAAATAAGAGGACATAAGTGACACACAAAAAAACATTTATAGAGTAATAACAATTGCCACTAGAACAGTTGTGGGAGCCTGTTTCAAAGCTAACAAAGACAGAAAGCCAACAACACAACAGAAATAACCAAAGGAATGGTCCACAGGGTTTGTAGTGGTGGCGAGTCAGGCTTGTTACCCAGGCACCCAGGACAGACCGAATAGCCAGGTCGGTCACCTAACTTTTCTCTACTTCAGAAAACAATGTGACTGTCACTAATTAAAGGACAAAAGATGAAGCAGCATATTGATAAGCTCATTACTTGGTTCTCTTCTATGCATATATTCAAACCCTTGGCCTAAAGCACCGAGCAAATCAACAGAGCTCTGATTGGCTCAAAGAGCTGCTGCCAACAGAATACAGGAGATTAGTAGCAGAAAGATTTAAGCACTCAAGTTATATACCTAACCCATTGAGCCAATCCTGAATTTAATAGCCTAATTCAATCTTGTATTTATTAATATAAAAAAATGGCACCAATTATATTAAAGCAGCAGTGGGGGTAGTGGACAAATAAATCTGCTACTGTGCTTAGATCAATATGAGCTTGCTATACCATGGCTTGTTTTTTTCTTTCTATCCTAGTCTGGTTTTTCCACATTTTAATGGGACAAGGAGTTTAAATTTTAAACATTCAGGTCACCAAACTAGCAACAGTACTATAATGAAGGAACCCTCTGGTGACTGTAAGCAAGTTTATTAATCCATATGTAGTAGGGATGCACCGATACCACTTTTTTAAGGCCGAGTACGAGTACCTTTTTTCCAAGTACTCGCCGATACCAATTAACGATACTTTTTCTTAAAGGGACAGGTCACATTTTTTCTAAAGCAATACAAAACCATGATTTTAGGTCAGTTTCTTGATATGTTATGAAGCTGTATTCTACCTGAAAGTACTACAATGCCATTATAGAACTAAGAATAGAACATTAAAAAAAACTTTTTTTTATTCTTCTAATACTCACCTGATTCCTGGATCCACCAACAAGCGCAGCCTCCCGTCTCCCATGCTGTTAGAAGTTGCATACAGCGTGTGCTGGTTACTACTTAAACCGGCGCGCGCTGTGTGCAGCTTCTGGGAAGATACGCTATTAGCATAGCGATGAAGCCGGCTGCGCATTTTGCATCACTCCCGCTATGCTAAATAGCCTATCTTCTTAGAAGCTCGTTTTACGTTTTGGAGTATTTGCACGAGTACTCATGCAAATACTCGGTATCGCCGCCGATACCGATGCAAATACTCGGTATCGCTGCCGATACCGATGCTTGTATCAGTATCGGTGCATCCCTAATATCTAGTGTTCTGTGGTTCTGGAGAGCACTTTCATACCTCAGCTGCCAGTAGAAATTCCCGTTCTAGAAAGCTAAAATGACAGGGGTGGAGGTCAGATTTAGGTGGGCAGGAGTTAGCAATAAGGTAGGCATACATTTGGAGAGTCTACAAACACACTAAGAAATGACAGACCTATTTGGAGTTTCATGACACTACTGTTGTTTTTATCACCTGATGTAAATTAAATTGGTCTTGCATTTACCAATAGAATGTTATTTAAAAAATGTTCAAAGAAATACCTTTGTCCATCGGCAGAGCTTAACACCTGAATGACTTCCGATTAGTCTGTAACCTACAAAGTGGAAGAAAGAATTAAGGGGAAAAAAAATTATAATCCATCAGATAACTAGTCTCTAAGCAGCTATAACTAGCTTGTGAGGTTAATCAAATATCTGGGCACTTTTATCCTTCCTTTTTCAAATTGGATCTGCACAGCTCTTTATAAGCGATACAGTTCACGGAGAGGATTTTAATGTTAAGCTGGCAGCTACATAAACAAAGAAAGGAACATTTTAAAAATAACGGCAAGAGAATTTTTTTTCAAAGCTTAGCTTTGGTATTATAAAGTTAACAACCTGTCCCAAACATGTTATATTAATCATAAGCTTAAGATATGACCACAGACCAAGAAGCTAAAAAATAGCTCTGTGGTAAGAGCTTGTTGTAAATTATTCATGCTGATGTGTTAGAAATGTTTTTTTATACTGATATAGATGATGATATAGATATATATAGATATATAGATATATAGATATATATCT